TTTCTTGGAGGAGAAACGTCGGACATTAAACTGATAATGTATTTCTTTCGTTGCTGTGAGAACCTGCAGTCGGTTTTGCTCCAGATTCGTTACTAAATCAAAAAAATAACATAATCGAAATGCGCAAATTTGGGATTTTTGTGGCAAGTTTGATCAAAAGTTTTGAAGGACCAGGTTTTCGGATTGCCCAACTTTTTTCCGATTTAACCAACTTCGTATACCTAAATTACGGATTTCGATATCCCCATTGCAAATGCTCGGAAAGGAAATAAAACCAATTTTTATCTGATTTTTCGGCAACTGAAATTTCGATAGTTTGCTCCATTTTCATGCTCTAATTTTTTTCGAGCCCCGTTTTGTAGAAAGCAAAGTGAACATGATTGCCAAACCCACTTTCACCGCTTGACCGGTAGGTATTTTAATGGAAAACGGTGCAACCAAAGCGAAGAGTGCGAGCAACGAACAAAAACAAGCAAAAATAAGGAAAAAACAGAAAATGCAAAGCAATTTTAAATAGATTAGTGGAAAAAATAACTTTTAATAATCAGCATGGGTCAAACTTGGCTGGGAAACATGAAAACAGTTTTTGCGTATAAATACCGCCTATAAGTAAGTGGATAAACACGGTTGAAATGCTGATGATTACTCTTATTTTGTTTTTATTTATTGGGGATTTTTTCATTTCGCGGAAGTTTGTAGAATAAAGATAATCACCATACGGGGAATGAAGAATCCACGGTTTCTTCCAGCATGACCACCAGGTTGATCACTTTTAAGGGATAAATAAATAATGAAAATTGAATTTGAAGAGCGTCAGTCGCCAGTTTTTTTTTAACAAAATACGTAAACTAACACTTACCAATAAAAAGTAAGTACACGGTTAAAAACCTGCAGAATCCTGCCAGTTGTGTGAGTATTGGTGGAGTGCAACACCCGACTAGAGCCCGTGTTCAGCAGTGGCTCTACTTAAAGTGATCGGAATGAACAATACGTTAATTGATCACTTAACAGAAGTTTAATTGTAAGAGCCTTATGGCTTGTAACTTTTAAAAAATGAGACTATTGGTGAGACTCTTTCTGGGCCTTTCAGGCGTGCAACGTCCGAGTGCCTACAAAACCGGCTAACTATCGATTTTTTCGAAAAATCCTAAAAATTGAGGAAAACTTCGAATATTAATAGTGAATCGCTTTGGCTGAAAACCCACATAACCTGAGACAAACTGGCAATAGTGGGAGCTTAATCTATTAGGTCACGGTCAGCGTCATTAAGCTATGAACTTACTGGATCTGAATTGAGCACATCTGCTCCTATTCGGCACAGTCCTTATTCCGCCACCACTAGCACTTAGAGCCTTTGGATCTACGCACATTTATCATGCCATAACAACCAATTTACCCGCAGAATCTCAGAAAAATTAAAAATTCCGGAACGTAGCTGTCGGCTTTTCGTACCATCGGCGAAGTTTGGCAATGCGGATCAAACGTTCACACCGCGAAAAAAATTAGGACTTTGGACCTCATGTGACCGAGCACATGGCCTCATACTTTTCCACCAATCAGTGTTGCGAATGATTTTTTCCGGCCGGCTGTGCGCGCTCAACGCAAATTATTGAACGCGTCTGTACGAGGGTCCGTGCAAAAAGTCCGTAAAGATTTTTCAATTTTTTGTCGCTAGTAGAAGCTATAAAGAATTTCTAGTGGTTCAAGGGGAGCCAGTAAAACTAGCTTAGAAGATATTGGAAACTCCAAATCACTATTAAAATAAATTTGCTCGTGTTTGAACATTTTGCCATTAAATAATAAGAACGCAAACTAACCAGGAGAAAAAAGTTGGAAAACCTCTAAAGCACCGTCTACGTAAATCACCATGTACATATTATAAATCAATTTTAACAGAAAATAAAAAGTAGTAAAGGAAATTCACGCGGTTTGCATGCAAGCCTGGAAAAACAACAACCAGTTTCGTACTAAAAAAATGTATTTTTAAATATATTTTTTTATATAAAATCAGGTAAATGCAATACGGTATTTATCCTTATTCCACAAAATGGTTTTTTGTAACATAACTTGTTTTATCGCCATTATAAATAGCAGTCCACTTAATACAAACATATTTTCCATTCAAAACCATTAAATGTATTTTCTACGTCTTTTTAAAACCGACTAAGAAGTAAGATCTCCATCATACGCACAGTATTGTACATGAAGAAAAAAGATTAACAAAAAAACTCGATTTTGAATCGAACCTGTATTTTCATATGTCCGGATTCTCTCTTCGGACTCTTCGTAATTGAGTCATGTGAAGAATAGTCGATCACGTTTAGGGTGAATAAACTGCAAGTGGCCGCATGTGGGAAAGTATAAAGTATGAAACTAATGGGTTTTTAGGCCGTCGTTCGGTAGAATTTCTTCCTGACGTTTCGCAAGCACGAGTGGCTTGCATCTTCAGAAGTGGTTTGCTTGAACAGCGTAAGCGAAAAACCCATTAGTTTCAAGGAATGGCCTCGAAAGTCTATCTCTTTTGAGTATATAGTATATTTGCAAAAGCCTTATTCAGAAAGGATTTTTGCCTTCCTCGTCTTTCCAGGAAAAATGGAAAACAATTAGGGAAAGGTCACATTTCCAAGATCTTCAGCCCATGTAATTGCAAAACGAAGAGTTTTCCGCGTTTTGTATACAAAATAAAATTAGTCGCTAAACAAATCACTTGTTACATAATGCCAGAATCATACAGGGTGACAAAACTCACAGGAAAAATGTTTGGGCAAAAATATTGCCGTTGAGGCAAATTTGTCTTATCCAAAAGTTAATAGTTTCCGAGGTACAGG